CCGGGGGGGGCAGCGAGTCGAGCAGGGCGCGCATCTCCTCGAAGTTGAGCAGCAGCACGTCCTCCACCAGGTACTTGTTGGCCAGCTTCTTGGTCTCCTCCAGGCCGTGCAGGGCGGCGATCTTGCACACCTGCTTGTAGTTCTGCACCGAGATCTGGTCGTTGAGGAACTGCACGCACAGCTTGGTGACCTGCGGGATGTGCAGGATCTTGCTGACCGACAGCACCTCCTCCACCGTGTCCAGGGAGAGGGTCACGTTGGCCGTGTACAGGTACTCCAGCACCAGGCGCAGCCCGATGGACGAGCAGCCCTGCAGCACCAGGTTGTTGATGGCCCGCGGGCTGGCCAGCAGCTTGTCCTCCGGGGAGGAGGACGGCGTGCCGGGCTCCTCCGGCGGCGCGTGAGGATGGTACAGCTGAGGAGAGGCAGTGCATTTGTCATGTGCTGTGGATTATGGTGTGAATGGGGGCCGCCACTTGCCTTTGTCCCTTGCTTGCGCAGGGCCAGGCAGAAAGTCTAGATTAGACAGTGAGAGATGTGCCATTGCCATAGACATTGTCCCTCTGAACGAGCTGTTGGAAACCTGGAGCTCTGCATGTGGTGGTTTCTCCGGGCTTTGTGCAGAAAGAGCTCTGAAGGCTTGTCTAAATCAGGACTATCAGGACGTTGGTGTATCCCCACCAAGCCTGGGTGACTGGGCCCCTGCAGAGACTCATGGGGTCAGTGAGGAGCCACCAAGCAGCTCTGCAGAAGCATAAAAAGAGGACAAGGAAGGAGCTGGACAAGTTAAACCTCACACAAAAGACATGAGATGTGACAGAACGAAGGCAGCCTCCATTAGACTTGGTAAAAACATGTAGAAAGAGGAAGTTCCTACAGCGAAGAGGCTGCATTTTAAATTGATGATTTGGACATAGGGGATAGGAGAGGAAGTGTATGGTATTACTTTATTTTATTTTTCATACTTCTTTGACTGCTTTACCTGCATGGGGCTAAGCACCAGTAAATTCTTCCGGGTCACAGCTGACTGTTCAAAATAGAAAGCCCTCATTAAAAAAAGAAAAAGAAAGAAAGAAAATAATGTTTCCAGCAATCTTCTGGAAAGCTAGTTATGTTTTGTCTATACAGAAAAAGTCTCCTCCCCAGATAATGCTGATTTGAATGGGCTATGTTACGTCTCAAGAGGAGGTAGCTCCTAGTGCAATGCCTTCCTAGGCTGCCTCCATGCTAGGCTGGAGGAGTGGGGATGAAGCTGGGAATCCAGCTTGGTTTCAGCAGGGTTTGGCCTGTTGGCTCAAGGGAGCCCTGGCTGGCAACATGTCAGGGAAGAGGGAAATAAAGTGCCATGAGGGGAGCAGGAAAGCAACTTGAGAGAGAAGGAATTTTAAGACTTGTCCAAGCAAACACCCAGGCAGTGGGTGGGACTGGCAGAGCAAAGACAGTCCGTGGCAGCCAACTCCATGAGGTTCTCCTGGTTATTCTCAGGGTTTTTATGTTACAGAGACTGCAGCCATAGAAAAGCAGCTTTCCAACAGTGGGAGTCAGCCCTGCAGAAGGGAGGTATTTTTCTGGCAACGCTTTTCTCTGGCCTTTCGAATTTTAACTTTAGCAGGACTTGGGGACCATGTACATACACTGTGCCTTCCTGGCTAGAGCCAGGAATGAGTGTGCTCCTTCACTCGGGTTTGAATTTTCCTGTCACCAGAAGCAGGACACCTGCAGCTGAATGCACTATTCCTGGTCTTATGAAGGCAGTCCTAGCACAGCCACCTAGAAATCCCACCTGCCTTGCAGCGTGCAGCGTGAGCCTTTCTGCAAAGCAGCTCACATCCACCCAGTCAATCCAGTACCAAAATCACTGCATGGATAGTGAGAAGTATATCTGCAAGCTGGTCATTTGCTTATGCATCAAAAAGGCTCTCAGTACCCTTCAGTGAGACATGCCCTTGCTGATCCAGAAAGGACCTGGTAGGAGTTAATGGTTCTTGGAGCAGTGTTTATAATTCCTCCAAAATATCCATCAGATGGTGCAGGGGGAGCAACTGGTCCATCCTTGACCTCCATGCTGTGAAGTCCAATCAGTCTCAGCGCTTAGCTCAAGAAGGTTGTCCTTTGCAGGAATGTTGGAAGGGAATATAATGCCTCCTTCCACTCTCTTGCACATGCCTGAGCGCAAACACACACACACACACACACACACACACACACACACACTCCTCCTCTTTCTCCCTCCCCTTCTTTCTTCCTCGTTTTGCCCATTTCTTGCAATCGGAGTTTATTCTGCAAACGCGTTTGTTACACAACTGCCCCCCCCCAGCCCCTCCGCGCACACTTCCAGCCCGGGCGCGCACACACTCACTCACACACGCACAGACACACACACGCATACACCCCTTTCCTCTCCCCCAACAGCAAACAAATCAGGAGACACAAGAAAATACACAGAGACGGTTAGACACAAGGCCAGAAACTTACCTGCTCCACAACCAGCTGCCAAAGTAAAGGTTCACTTAAGCTCCCCCCCAAAAAAATCAATTGTCCTTCCTTTTTAAAGGTTTGCTGTCTCCTTCCAAAAAAAAAAAAAGGGGGGGGGGGAAAAGAAAGAAAGAAAGAAAAAAAAAACCTTCTGGTTCCCAACTCGGAGCAGTCACTCTTTACAATTTATTTTGTCGTACATCATTTGATCACCATGAATTAGCAACAGCAAGAAAATGTACGAGAGAGAGAGAAGGAGAGAGAGAGAAAGAGAGAGAGAGAGAGAGCGCAGAGCTTTCTGCAAGAGAAGAAGAAGAAAAAATGTACGTGTGACAAATTATGCTACCAAGAAACAACACATCATTATCCTTGGGCCTGGGGCTCAGTGAGTCGTAACGAGAGTAATAGGAAATCCACGGTTGGGGAGAGAAACGGTCGTGCATGGCCGGTGGAGAGAGACCATACAGGGGGATGGATGCTGGAGAGACTCGCAAAATTATGGCTCAAGGCTATTGTAAAAATTGTCGAGCGTAAATGACTGCGATTTCAAACATCTTTGGAAGAAAGAAGGGGAAAAAGCGAGCCCCCCCCCTCCTCTCTGCCTGCCTCCCTCCCGCTCTCCCTCTCTCTTCTCTCTCTCTATAAAGAACCGTCAAGTTTTAGTGCGCATTGCTAATTAGTCAATTTCTCTCTGCCTTCACAGGCTGGCGACTTTGCTGCTGAGCTGAAACTGCTAATTTCTGTGACCAGCTTTTTTCTTAGCTGTGATCTGGATGAATGAGTAGCTGTCTCGCAGAGATGACAAAAATAAACTCTAATCCCCCCCAAAATTTCCACTACATCTTTCTCATGCATAGATTTATGATCTTCAAGCGCCCTGTGCAATATGCAAACTTTTTGCGGGTGAGTGTGAGTGTGTGAGTGTGTGTTGGGGGGGTATGCAGGCTGTTGTATTCAGGTTGCACAGTATTTGTTTTCTGTCTCTACTCCCCCCCTGCCCCCGCACCCTAGATGTGATGGAAATAATGTCTGACTTCAGTACCCGATATATTGTCATCGTCCCCCTCCCCCCCGCCACCCCATTGTATTTATATTATTGGTTTGACAGGATACATCCTTGCAAATGTGATGAGGCTGGAGGGGTGGAGGGGAGAGAAAGAAAGTGAGGCTACTAAATGGTGTTAGTGGTAAAACGTTCCCTTTACATTTGTTCTCCTGCACTGTTCAAGATTTATGATCTTGTTTGAAGGCATATTTTCTCTATCGTTTTGTCTGGTTAGACAACCGTCTCTGAACTTCACTGTCAGCTCTTCAACAGATAAGGGTTCAGAAGTCACATTCTTTTTTTATTGGAAGATTAGCATATTGTCAGATTTGTCTTTCAGTTTCGAGACTTTGCAATGCAGAAGCCTGAATCAAATGGCAGGAAAGCAGCTGCTATTTCACAAGCGTAACCTTTCAACTTTCTGCCAGATCTGATACCTTAGAAACGTGCACAGCCCGTGGTTTGGGCTTTTGTTCCATTTTTGTTTTTATTTTTTTGCTCCCTTATAGTTGGAACAAGCAGAGGGAATTCTTGTTGTAGGCATTTTGGGCTTTTCCTTTCCACCAAGGGGCATTTTGGTAGAGGACATGTTCTCCACACTTTATCTCATGATATATTGCACCCTCACATTTATAGCTCTGTTCTCCTGTTGTCAAACCTCCAATTGTGAGAAAAAAAAAAAAGAAAGAAAGAAAGAAAGAAAAGGCAGAAGGTATGCCCTTGAATGAAGCGCACATGAAAGGAGACTGGAGTGAGCGCTTACAGAAAGTTTTACCTGATGTGAAACCTATTAGCCCCATCCCATTTCCCAGAAAATACTAAGGCTTTTGTTATTAAAATATGCACCAGGAGTGTTGCTTTGAAAGCCAGATCTCATGGGCTTTTTCTCTTTGACTTGGCCAAGGAAGCCAATGCATTTACAGAGTTGGAGTCCGATTGCTCAGGAATGCAAAGGACTGAAACTGAAAGGCATCAAAGCTGTTTTCACTTTTATTTGTTTTCTGGTGACCTTAAAAAAGGCGTTCTGCTATACTTTTCCATTTTTCTCACCAGACAGATTCGTTCCTTTAGATTCTCTCCTCCCTTGTACCTCAATTATTTCTGCAAGAGATTTCCAACAGAAATTAGGCAGCTGCTGTTCTAGGGTATGGTATTCCTCCCAAAAGAATGACATTGTCATATACTTCTGAAACCATTTTCTTTGTTTTGCTCCTTTTGTGTCTCCCCTCCCTCCTAGTTCTGCCCTGCTGGTTGCCCATGTTTTGGCCCTGCTCAGGTGAAGAGAAGCATGAATTATAAGATGCCTCCATTTCAATAGTGGCTACTATTTTCAGTGATGTGAGGTGTCTCCAAACTGTAGTAGATGGGAAGAACAATTTTTATATCATACTCGTGCTGTTGAACTTTACTGCTGTAATGGCTGTAAATAACCCTCAAGGGGTTTTGTATCATTTTTTCACTGAATGATGTGTCACACACTCTTATACCACTATAAGCTGCCAAAATGCGTCTGTGACAACATGTACCAAGTTTCTGGGACCAGCGTACTGGTATGTTTTGCTTATTAGTGAAAATATCTGGTTAATTTTTATTTAACTCTGCTACACTAACTCAAGTTAAAATAAAATTAAATCTTACTGATGTTATGATAGTTGGTCACTTTATGAATTACAAATTTTTAACTTTCTGCAATTAAACTTTTTGAATTAAATCACAGCACTGAATGCTCCTTGAGCTTTCCCTGTCATAGCTATAGGACTCTGTGCCTAAGCAGGGGACTTTTTCACTGCTTTTGTCTTTTCACAGCCAGAGGTTAGTAGATGTTGTACTTCTACTTGTCTTCCTTCAGCTCATCTATTTCCTTCCATGCAGCCTCCATTGAGACCTTATGGAAATGTCAGTGTGGAGACTTGTAGCAGGGAGGTCAATACTGCAACAGCAAGTGAGATTCCCCTTGCAATTCAAGGAAGAGGTCCTCTTGCAGAGGAGGTCTTCATCAGGAAAATCTAAGGCATTGTCTTAAAAACCCAGTGAACAAGTTCAGTAGCTAAGCAAAGTAAATGTATAAGAGTAATTATGAAAAAGAAAAGTTTTGAATTCCTATATAATATCTGTGCTTGCAATATGAAACATATCTCTATACAGCTTATGCTCTGAGGGGGATTTTTTTCGCGGGTTTTGTTGCTGCCCTGTACACTGCGTTTGACACCCCAGCACAGCTCAGCAATCAGCAGGCTATGTGTATAGGATCTTAACAATTAAGGCCGAAAGTAAGTATCAGTTCAGAATATCTGCCCCTTTGCCATTGAGGTTGATGGCACCAAAAGAAGTTGAGCTGGCTTCAGGTTTTGGGTACAGAAATTACCTTTTGCATATGGTCTGGCCTGCTGGACTCTCTCAACACTTTGCATCTCTGCCTCTGTTGCATTTCAAATGGTCAAAGAGACGCGACTGGTTGACAGTGCTCA